TTATACATATTTGATCTACATCATTTCATCTTATTCTTAATAACACACATGCCATTCCCTCGTACATCCTCATTGTTGTAGCCATTGCTGTGGTGGGAAGAACGTCTGCCTTGAGACGGAGGTCGATGGTTCAACTACCTGGACGCTTTTATAAGCCCAAATACGCCAGCGTGTACAACGCGTCAGGGCCTAGACATGCTAGACCATGCTAGTGTTGAAATGTGAAATGAATCCGTATCCTCTCTCCCAGTCCCCACGCCCCTCAACACACACAGGCGCGCACGAACACACACTCGCGAACACACACACTTAATCAACTTTTGAATTTCATTGTATGGTTCTATACATTTTAAGTAGCTTTTCCTTTTCATCTGGGTTACAATTTCCTTACGAGTGTCCGTTGCCTATGAAATAAAAGGTACCCTCCCATTACCCCTACATGCCACTACCCCTACAGCTTATAACAACATAGTTTATGGTCTGTTGCATAACTAATCTCCTGCCTGTTACCTATTCCATACAGTGGACTGGTCCACTTAAGATGCACAACATGACACAAGACAGATTTTAAAAGTGACTTTAATACATGTGTTATCACAAAGTACCACATCATTGAGATCAATTGTCAAGTTTTTCAGTCTATTTACATTCAGTGTTTTCATATCATCATATAAGGATGAACAAAAGATCACATTATCACAAGTGTTTCATATCAACATATCAGGATGAGAGAAAGACCACATTATTACATTATCACAAGTGTTCAAGTGTCAGTGTTACAGTCTATCCAAGCTTGAGCGGGTAGCCGACGGCGTCAAGAAACTGAAGAGGGGATTTCTGTCCACGCTGAAGCTGTTCCTTGAGTCTGCACAGACGGTTGTCGATCTCTCTGTACACTCGTTTTCTGTTTGTTGGCGCAGCACCAAAGTCAATCTGAGCAATCCTCACTCTCTCGGTGTGTTCGACTCTCCTGATGACTTCTACAAATCTGTAGATGTTCGGGTGCCTGTGTGGAATTTCTCGATTCAGACGATGTAGTCACGATGTAGTCGTTGAAGTCGAAGAAATGGAAGAAACAGCCCTTCACGTCAGCAGTGGGAAATTCTGTTTCTATGGCGTGGATTGCTGCTAGCTCAAAATCGGTCTGGATGCAGGCAGGATCAAGCGGTCTGTTGAGTCTCTGCTGAACTTCATCCTTGAGCAATCGGAAGAGTCTGGAGTAGGTTGTTGTCTGGCGGTCCGGAAGAAGGGCGAAGATGAGGGGATATGTTGAGCTGCCACGTCTTGCATGGATGATGTATACTTGATTCCACAGTGCAGGACAGGCTGTGAAAGTTCCATCCATGTAGAGGTTGTCAGCTGACTGCAAGGCTTCAAGACTCTCTTGTGTTCCGAAGGCCAAGATCTTGTCGTCATGGCCGTCCGCAAACAGGAGGAATGGTCTACCATCTGCTGTCTGCGTCCAGGGATCTTGGAGGTCGACTTCTGATCTCGTCTGTGGTAAGACAGGAATCGTCTTCTGGCGGTGGCGGTACAGGGCACTGCTAACAGATGGAAAGGAGGGCATGGTACGTGTCTCGTCATCAGTCAGGTTGGTAAGCTCGTTGTTGTAGATGGTGCGCATCGGTATTGACTCCTCCCTGGCTCTCTTCCTCAGGTTGCTGACAAACCGGACCTTCTGGCTATCCTCTGGTGGGTGATTGTGTTCAGTCGTATTTCTTACCACATCGCCAACAGTTGTGACTCTTCCTTTGCATGTTGACTGCACACACTTCCAGTGTACACAGGTCTGTCGCTCAACATTCTTAGTGTGAAGATATCCATCCAACAGAACTTGACGGCTACCTCTCCGTGACATAACAAACTCAACATTGCGAAGACCAGCCATGTTGATGCCATGTTTGTTTCATGTCAGCACTTATATACTGTATGGAACAATCTCAATTTCCTGTATCATCTCCACGTTTTATTTCTCTCAACTTCTCAACATTGTAATATATGTAACATTAAAGTGCACTATAACAACTTTTCTTAACAACATTTAGCAATCACAACACTTTTCCAATTGTATGTTTCTTCTACTCAGGGTTGAGGTTTGTTTTCATCATGAGACCACTAATTTCCTTGCCACAAAAGACTAATCACATTTATGCATCCCTTGATCTCATCTATGCTCCATGCACTAATCCCTCTTTAGGATTAGTCTATTATATCAGACAGGTAAATGCTAGGTGTTGTTTTAACTAGCTGTAGGGGTACTGGAGTGTAGGGGTAGTGGCATGTAGGGGTTATGGGTGTGAACCAAATAAAAATACCAATCGTCACACAACAATTTTTTTACACGATATTTTAAGACCGAGATACAGACCTGCAAGTCTAAATATTTTTAAAATCCCATCTTCCAACATGTTTTGCAGCAGACAATGTGTTTAAATTTATTTACACAGTGTGAACAATGTTTATTTTCCAGCCCATTACTGTGGCAACATAGTTTTTCGATAAAATCCTAGACTCCTTATCACACAAAAACTCCGCAATCCACAATATGAAATTGTAGATCACTAATACATTGACTACATGCATTCAGAAAAGGTTGAAACATGTAATGATGGCACATCAATGGGTCTTTCCTGTCAGATATTTCAACCTAAGGTTAGACATAGCTTCTTGCGTAGATCGATGCTCATGCTATTGAACACTGGCTTGTCTGGACCAGACTCGATTATTTACAGACCGCTGCCATATAGCTGTGAATATTGCTGAGTGCGGCATAAAAACAACAAACCAACCAACCAACTACAGCTCCCGTACCCGTTCAGGGTTCCGATCCACAAAGCGTTCGTAAAGTTACGACCTGTCGTAGCGCTACGAACGTTTTGTGGATCGGGACCTGGGGCTCCTTTCACGAGGCAACCTTAACTAAGGTTAACCTTAACTCCCATTCTTTAACATTGCACTAAGGTTACCTTAGTGACTTACGATCACCATAGTGCTTTGTGAAAGGAGGCCATGGATTGTACCCCAATACGTGATCAGTTGTTTTCTTGTCTTCCAAACCAGTAATTCATGAGGTGCAGAGGTCATGCAATCACATTTGTCTTGATGTGTCTTGTCTATGAACTGCATGGACACTTCCAAGTTGCCTGGCTGTACCCTCGTGTGTTTGTGTTCACCATGGGGCTGTGTGACAAAGGAGATGATTTCTGTTTTCCAATAGTGAACTTTCATGTCGAGCAATATTCCAACAGCTCCTGCCTTTGTTCTTTTGTCGGCTATTGGCTTGTCACGAATGGCCACGTTCATACCATACCACTAAATACCGCTATACCATGTGTTCATATGGGGATTGGGGCGGTGGGGGTAGCCTAGTGGTTAAAGCGTTTGCTCGTCACGTCGAAGACCCGGGTTCGAGTCCCCACATGGGTACAATGTGTGAAGCCTATTTCAGGTGTCCCCCGCTGTGATATTGCTGGAATATTGCTAAAAGCGGCGTAAAACCAAACTCACTCACTCACTCATATGGGATTGCGTAGATATGTGGTGCGTCTCTTCATTATCAAGCAACATGCACCAGTTGTTATACCCCGCAATGCGTTTTGTAGGGGGTATTAAAATGCGCTCCGTCCGTGCGTCCGTCCGTGCACATTCGGCTTTTCCGGAGCCGAACTTCAAAACCGTTCACTATTTCTTCGCCACACTTGGTTCTTACATAGATCTGGTGGTGTACTGGTGCCTTTTGGTAGTTTTGGATTTGTGTATAAAAAGATTTTTTTGCGTTACAATACTCTCCTTCCACTTTGCCATAAACATACCAAAACATTTGACATAACCATAACTATTAGACATATTCATGGAGAGTATTTTGCCATTGCTGGGGATATTGATGACTTTGTCTTCTTGTTTTACTTGCTTCGCTAATTGAAGCACATAACCTTAAAGTTAACATCGATTTCATCTACCGATACAGGTGTAAGGTCCGAGGTGAATCGATGAAAGATTATTTAGCCTCCCTAACACACGTGTCCCAGTACCACCCATGAAGATCAGGGTTAGAATTGATCTTCAGTAACCCATGCTTGTCTCCACCCATGAAGATCCGGGTTAGAATTGATCTTCAGTAACCCATGCTTGTCTTAATAGGCGACTAACGGGATCGATTAATCTATCATTGCGTAGATCGATGCTGTTGATCACTGGCTTGTCTGGTCCAGACTCGATTATTTACAGACCGAGGCCATATAGCTAGAATGTGCGGCGTAAAACTAAACACATTCACTCACTGTCCTTATACCACTTTCTCGATCACTGGGCAACTGTTTCTGCCAATCCAGCTTTCGCACTTACTTCGAGGTAAAGAAACTGATTTTGGTGTAAGCAGAGACCATATAATAGAGCTAAAACTACATAAGAGGGGAAGCTGTATGTATTGTTTATGTATGAATACTCCATTAATGTAAACAAACAGCTTATTTTTGCTTCGTCAATATGATTCAAATTATAGTGAAACGAAAGGTTTTACAATTATTCAACAATATTTACATCAATTTGTATGTTACAGTGTAAAATAGACAGTTTAGTGACTATGAGGAATGGCAAAAGATTAAACATGGCAAAAGAACAAACATTCAAACTGTTATCTGTGATTTCATTTCATTGTGTGTACCAGGAAGAGTGTTTTTATATAAACAGGAATGTTTTATAACCAGGACGGGTTTTTTTTCTTTTGAAAAGGTTGTCATGTGCTATCAGCTATTTTAAACACACATTTGTCACTACAAACAGTCGTAGTCGAGTAATACAATCTCCACCAACTCATAGTTTATAGTGAGGCAACGCAGTAAGATAAACTTTACAAACCCAAACGTGCACGTAACCCCGTTATAGCACAAGAGTCTGCTGGAAACCAAACATGTAGCCATTGAGCCGCCTGGGTTTGCTGCGCGGGGTTACGTCCCTTTAGCCCGACCGCACTCAGTGGATAAATCGCATACACGAGTGAGGTCGGGTTGAGCGTACGTTGCGTCTCAGACAATTTCACTTATAAAGACTTTAAGTAACGTGTATACTCACGTACACGACTACCAGTCTTTGATTTATTCATTCACGGCGAGAGGCAATAAAACAAGGGGCAGCGAAAACCGTAAGTAGAAATGTGTGTGCTGATTTGCTTACCAATGCATATTGACCCCCTGTCCTTCCTCTGCAACCCTCACTTTGAAGCCCAGTAAAATTCCAAATACATACGCACATAAATACACTTCACATAAATAGCCCTAACCCTAACCAGATACCATCCACTATATCTTAGACAAAACTAAAGTGATTGAAATAACCTTTCAAAATTGGCTACAACGTAAATGTCGCCATTTTTGACACATTACCGTGATTAAGAAATCGCGATTCACAGCGTTATTTGCTGTATGTTTTGAAATGTAAAAATCGGAAAATTACTCTGAGTACTGAGTTTCAAAAATAGCATATTAATGTTCACTGATATCAGTTTTTCATCAAATCTGTTCATTTTGTTGGTATGTTTTCGAAACACAATTTCAAATCTTTCCGCCATATTGGTTAGTGTTTACAAAATCACGTTTCGTGAAGGCCGGTTATTAGACGTCCTCTTACATGACGTAAGTTTCATATTCAGCTGCGACTAATATATCACTGAATTCCTTATACAATATAGAATCAAGCAACAGGTGGTCTTAGTCACCAATACCAAGCGTCCGGGTGAAATCAAACGAAACATAATCTATATTGGTGTGAAAACGAACGCTGTGCTTGTAAAACAACGCAAAGAAAAATTCAGATTTTGTACTGTGTAGCATTTTCTCAAATTTTCAGACGTCCATTCCTAGCATGCATAGGTTCAATACTTTTAGAATATGCATGGAAAGAGTACAGCAGCAAAAAATTAAAAAGCAAGAATACATACGAAATTGTCAAAGTTTCTGTGCAGCGTGACGCCATCACTGACGCAAATTCCTGCAGAACAACGGTAATTTTCAGCATTTCTGTCTTCTTCTCTTACTTACAATCTAAACGATAAAAACAAAAAAAATAGGAACATAGTCAGAATCTTTCTGATTACTTACATCACATATTTAATTATTTTATAGACAAACGATCCTTGAATCAAGGGAAGGGCCCTCAGCCTACCGATGTCAGCGAACCCGCCATTTTGTAATTTTATAAACTATCAGACGTCAACATTGTTGCACATATTTGGAAATTACTTTGAGGTGGAGGTCAGTTGAATGAGAGTAAACAATAATCCGATCCAGACGCTAACAATTTCAGTATTATGATTAATATTTTGCGTATCTTTGGGTAGTTTTTATTAGAAAACTAACTTCATTATCTACATTTCCCCATGTACAATATAATATACGTAGATGATGGCTGTAAGTTAATGTATGTCTATCCTGTGAAAGTTACTGTTTGTTTGAACATTATGTACAGTAAGCCAGTACAGTAAGCCAGTACAGTAGATGTGAAATTGACACATTTCACGTAGAACCCCGTATTAAAGCCTTTACAGACGATGAAACGCAGGCATAACTGAAACATGTATGTAGTTCCTGTCATGTGTCCATATTCAATTTCAATGCTATAATATTACATATAAATATCTTAGTGAATAGCGATTTCATTAAATCTTATAACTAAAGTTGACTATATCGTAAAAATAAACAACGAATGAATAAACTCTTATACATCTTGTTCATGTATTTTGTTATATGCCTGTCAAGGCCACAGGTGACAATTCGCCGAGCAGAGTTCTTTGACATGCGGAAACCTATGATAAGCAGGTTCGAATCCCGGTGTGACCCGATATGTTTAAGGTAACCATTGCTCGTGTGTTTCCCCACATGAAGATGACACACAGCGATACAACGGGAATACTGTTTAAAGCGGTGTTAAAAATAATTCATTCAGTCAGGTCTAATTAGTTTGAATCTGATCAATTGACAAGTGGTCTCCGTTTGTCGAAGCAAAAACAAGATCTAATTTATGAGATTCTAGCTAACAGAAGACAACAATTGCACAACCTTTGGAATGTTTCCCGTTTGCTGTCATTATTTCCTGCTATGTAGCTAACACCCGGAAACACTTCTGCAAATAGATCATAGATGACATATTAACAAGTTAGTAGCACAAAAGGATATGTGAAACAAGTCAAAACATTGATTACATAAACAGTTTCGTTGCCTGTTGAGTGGGTTCCGTCCTATTGGGCAACTTAGTACACTAACCAGTCGAGAATTTTGAGACTAATTCATTTAATTGGATATATAAATATTAATCAGTATTATTTGATACATCTAAGCACTTGTATATTGCAACACGACGCTCCATCTAATCCTTGCAAACACGTCGTGCAGCGTGCTCTGTCGTACAGCGAGCTCTGACAAACAGAAACTGGAAATCGTGGACATCTCAAAACGAGGCTCTGCCGCTAGAAAAGTTTGGCGGTCTGGTACGAACTCGATATTATAGCAATCGCATTTTGCGTTACAGGAGTACACTGAATAAGCGCAAAAAACACATAACAGGTGTAACCAGTAAGCCAGATGCGTTGTGAATCATTTTACGACCTCATCAAACTCGGTCAGTCTGTGACGTCTTAGTTAAGGTCATGTTGCCTACACCTCGCCATAGAATATAAAAATACGATGTTATTAAAGTTTACAATTAAAATTCATTTGTAAATACCATTTTCTTATGAAACAAGGAATTAGATTTCAGTGTAACCATTGTCTGAATAGGTTAATGAGACTCATGTTTCGGTTTGGTCAACTCGGCTACGAGTGGTATTAAGGCCACTAGCGTAGTCAAGTTGGGTGGGGGGGGGAACCCCAATCTCCCCCCAAACACACACACACAAAAAAAAAAGCGGCGGTCACATCTGACAGACACGCACGTAGTTGACCAGAGTGGGTGATGAACGTAGACCGTACTAGACCCGCATTTGACCTTAGTTAAACGTACGTAAGACGTATTTAAGCGTAGTTCAACGTAGGTCACCGTAGTTATGACCGTACTTTGAACTTCAGCAAACACATAATTTGGCCGTGGTTTGATAAAAAAAAATTCAACATGTTCAAAATAATACCTCTACGGTTAGCTTGAATGCGAAGACCCTACTGTTACTGCAGTCTAAGTAAACTTAGGCTCAGTATTATTCGTTACACTGCTATACTGAGTCTAACAAAACCTTGTAGCAGGTCCCGTCAGCTAACCTTTTGGACTGACCAATCAGAACACAGCTTTCCAAATCGTGAAAGTTAACATTCGCACATGCATACCGTTTGAACCTTTACCTCAAAAACTCGAACGATTCCGAATGCTATTTTCCGCACGATCGCTTCGGAGTGATACACGCAATGAGTAAACAGTCGCTGAAAATAGCGTTTTTGTCAGTATTCAAGGATGTCATCTTGCGAAAGTATAAGCAAATAGTAACCATGTCATTAGAAACCCATAAGCGTATATACTGCAGGTCAAATATCTGTGTTTTATGCGGATTTTCGTTTGTTGAGATCAGTGCAAGCGACCAGGGAAGAGAAAATCCAAAAACCGTTTTGTAAGTCCCACCGAACCCTAGCAAGTAGTCGTTGTCTGATTGGTTAAATCCGTTCGGCCGTCTCGCGTTTGATTGGACGGTCATAGGTCGCTCAAAGGTTAGCTGACGCGACCTTCTACTAGGGTTTGTTAGACTCAGTATAGCAGTGTAACGAATAATACTGAGCCTAAGTTTACTTAGACTGCGTTCGTATTTCGGAAAATAAGTACTAGTATAAAGATCTGGGCAAGCAGAAGATGTCCTTCATTTGAAACACACTCTGCTGATCACAGCTGGTGGCTTCATAATATCTGTTTGAACAATGCAGTTGACAACAGCTGACTTGGTAATGTTCATCTAGGTGAGGTCTGTCAATATGTTAGAGATGCGATAACTATTGTCAATTCATTCACGCTCTGTTTGAAGGACATCGCAGTCATGCGACATACTGAAATCGGGAAAGGAACGACAGGTGGTCTTTCAGTATCCATCTAGACGAGGTCACTCACTACTGTCAATATGTATAGATGATTCAAGGTTTTCCGCACAAAATATAATTCTAAAGCGTCTGTCAACGTATATACCAACTTCTGTGCGTGTATGGAAATAGCTGATAGTAATCAAATGCAACTTGACAATTGGCTCTGTGAGGTGCGACTTATGCAGATACTAGAAACGATATTGGTGACATACATTCTGTTGTCAATAATAGCATTTGGAATGATCTGCAATAGATATCATGAGACTGACTATGCATTTATTCATTAACCATTATCACAGGTTCACAAATATGTTGGGTCAAATTTGATCTTCAGCAACCCATATCGTAAGAGCGAACTAATGTGATCGGGTGGTCGTTCTCACTTACTTGTTTGATGCATGCCATCGTATCCCACTTGTGAAGATCGATGCTCATGGTGTCATTACCATGCTCTCTTTTGTGTATATCAATACATATTACTAAAACCGAGGCATACATATATATAGCGTTCATTCGGTCCGTCCGTCCGTCCCGAAACTTTGTCCGGAGCATATCTCTTAAAGTTTACATGCTAGGTTCACCAAACTTCACACACAAGTTAATCATTACCCATTGATGTGCCTTTTGCTATTTTAAAGTTTTTCAGAATTTGTTTTGTTGTTGTTTCCATGGAAACATGACTTGGTGCAAAATGTGTTTGATGGTTACCTGCCCACAGCATATCATCGAAACTATACATGCTAGGTTCACCAAACTTAATACACAAGTTAATCATGACCCACAGATATGCCATGTGCTAAAAAATAACAGTCTTCATCTACGTCCACTTTATTGTGTGCAACAAGTTCAATTGTATGTCAGGTTTCCACGGAAAACACAAAAAAGTAATGTTTCCATAAATTATTACTGTAATCAGTACATGGCAAAACAATTATCTAACATGTATATAAAGTTTAGTAGAGTCAAGGGGAAAGTCTTGTGAGCTACTGATCCTTGTCAAATTATATATATCAATATCAGTCATATCCATGTCCCAAAGTGGGAAGCGGGGGTATGTAAGCTGTGCTCACTTCTACACTTGTTTTATGAACGT